ATTTATGTGGTTTATTTTATACCCTGCAACTTTGCTAAAGTTGTTTAGTATTTCAAGTAGTTTTTTACTTAATCTTCTAGGATTCTCTAAGTATATCATCATGTCATCTGCAAAGAGTTATAGCTTTGTTGTTTTTGTCTATTCTAATAACTTCAATTTTTTTTCCTCTTATTGCTAAAGCTAAATTTCCGGTACAATATTGGATAATAGTGGTGATAATGGACATCCTTGTTTCACCCCCGATCTTATCAGAAATGCTTCTAGCTTGTTGCCATTACGTATAATGCTTGCTGAAGGTTTTAGATAGATGTTGTTTATTATTTTAAGGAAGACTCCATCTATACTTATGTTTTCTAGTGTTTTTAATAGGAATGGATGTTGTATTTTGCCAAAAGCTTTTTCTGCACCTATTGAGATGATCATGTGGTTTCTGTTGGTTGTGTTGCTGATATTTCAATTATGCTGATAGTTTTCCTAGTATTGAACCAACCCTATATTCCTGGTATAAATCCTACCTGGTCATACTGTTTCATTCTTGTGATAAGTTGCTATAATCTATTTGGTAATATTGGTGTATAATTTTCTTTCTCTGTTTCAACTCTTCCTGGTTTAGGTATCAGCACAATATTTGTATCATAAAAAGAATTTGGTAAGACTCCTTCTTCAACTATTTTCCCAAATAGTCTGCATAGCATTGGAATTAATTGCTGTTTAAATGTTTGATAGAATTTGCATGAAAATCCATCTGCCCATGGAGATTTTTTCCTAGGGAGTTCATCAATGGCTTGTTCAATTTCTTTTTCTGAGATGGGGTAATTTAAGTATTTTATTTCCTCCTCCGTTAATCTGGGCAATTTATGTTTTTGTAAATATGTATCCATTTTACTAAGATTGTTAAATTTGTTGGCATATAGTTGGGCAAAATAACTCCTAACTTCTGTTTTAATTTCCTCTTCCTTGGTGGTAGCTTCACCCTTTTCATTCTTGGTACTAGTAATTTGGTTTTCTTCTTCCTTTTTTTTTTAAATTAGATTAACCAAAGGTTTATCTATTTTATTGATTTTTCATAAAGCTAGCTCTTACTTTTATTTATTACTCCAATAGTTTTCTTAATTTCAACTTTATTAATTTTCCTTTGGTTTTCGATATTTCTAATTTAGTGTTTAGTTGAGGATTTTTAAGTTGTTCTTTTTCTAGTTTTTTTAGTTGTATGTCCAACTCACTGATCTCTTCTTTTTCTATTTTATTTATGTAAGCATTTAGAGATATAAAACTTCCCCTAAGAACTTCTTTTGCTGCATCCCATAAGTTTTGGTATGTTGTCTCATTATTGTCATTCTCTTGATGAAGTTATTGATTGTTTCTATGATTTGTTGTTTGACCCATTCATTTTTTAGGATAAGATTATTTAGTTTCCAATTATTTTTTAATCTATCTTTCCATGGCCCTTCATTACATATAATTTTTATTGCATCATGATCTGAGAAGTATTCCTTTAATATTTCTGCCTTTCTGCATTGGATTGTGAGGTTTTTATGGCCTAGTACATGGTCAATTTTTGTGTATGTGCCACGCACCACCGAGAAAAGTATATTTCTTTCTATACTTAATTTAATCCCGAGGTCCATTATACATAAATTTTCTAATGTTCTATTCACCTCCTTAACTTCTTTCTTGTTTATTTTGTGGTAAGATTTATCTAGTTCAGAGAGGGGAAGGTTGAGGTCCCCCACTAGTGTAGTTTTGCTGTCTATTTCTTCCTGTAACTCCCTGAAGTTCTCCACTAAGAATTTGGATGCTATACCATTTGGTGTCTATATGTTTAGTAATGTTATTTCTTTATTGCTATGGTGCCTTTTAGCAGGATGTAGTGTCCTTCCTCATCTCTTTCAATAAGATTTATTTTTGCTTTTGCTTTGTCTAAGATCAGGATTGCTACCCCTGCTTTTTTCACTTCATCTGATGCATAATATATTCTGCTCCAGCCTTTTGCCTTTACCCTGTATGTGTCACTCTTTTTCACATGTGTTTCCTGTAAACAATATATGTAGATTATGGTTTTTACCATTCTGCTATCTGTTTCGTTTTATGGGAGAGTTCATCCCATTCACACTCACAGTTTTGATTACTATCTGTGTCTTTTTCTCCATCCTTTTCCCCCCTCTTTATGCTTTTCTTTCTTCTTTCTCCTTCTCCCCCCTCACTAGCGTTTTGCTTTTGACCACTGCCTCCTTCAGTCCCTCCTCCCTTCTATTAGCCCTTTCCCTTTTCTTCCTCTTTACCCTTACTGCTTCTTCCCTCCCTTTTATTCCCCCTCCCTTTTCTTTCCCCTTTTCTCTCCTACTGCCTACAGGGCAAGTTAGATTTCTATACCTAACTGATTATGTTATTACCTTCTTGAGCCCAATCTGATGAGAGCAAGGTTCAAACAATGCTCACCCCCCTTTCTTCCCTCTGCTCTAATAGGTTTTTGTGTCTTCTCCTCTAATGTAATTTACCCTTGTCTGCCTCCTCCTTACTCAGTACATTTTCTTAGATCAGACTAATTCACTTACTTGGATCCATTTAACCCACTTGATTAGATTATTTTTTATCATTACATCAAAGTCCACTTATATCCAGCCCCTTTATGTATACTCCTTTAACATGGAATAATAACAATACAGTTCTCAAGAGTTGCAAGTGTCATCTTCTCTTGTAGGGATGTAGACAGTTGTCATTATTCACAACATATTGCATCTTTCTGTCCCATTTACCTTTTTATGTCTCTCCTGAGTCTTGTACTTGAAGATCAAATTTTTTCTTGGCTCTGGTCTTTTCATTAGGGAGGTTTGGAAGTCCCCTACTTCATTGAATATCTATCTCCTCACTTGAAATATCATGCTCATTTTTGCTTGGTAGTTGATCCTTGGCTGCAATCCAAGCTCCTTTGCCTTGCAGAATATCATGTTCCGCACCCTACAATCTTTTAATGTAGAAGCTGCAAGGTTCTGTGTAATCCTGACTGTGGTTCCATGATATCTAAATTGTATTTTTTCCAGCTGCTTGCAGTATTTTCTCTTTCATCTGGTAATTTTGGAATTTAGCTATTATATTTCTTGGGGTTTCAATTTGGTTTCTCTTTCAGGCGGTGAGCGTTGGATTCTTTCCATGGTGATTTTACCTTCTTGTTGCAGGACTTCAGTGCAGTTTTCCTTTATGTTTTCTTGAAAGATACTGTCCAGACTCTTTTTTTCATAATGATTTTCAAGTAGTCCAATAATTTTTAGGTTGTTTCTTCTGGATCGATTTTCCAGGTCCGTTGTTTTACCAATGAGGTATTGTATGTTTTCATCTAATTTTTCATTGCTTCGTTTCTGTTTGACTTATTTTTTCTGTTTCATAGAGTCATCAGTTTCCATTTGTCCAATTCTAATTTTTAACAGATTGTTTTCTTCTATTAGTTTTTTTTACTTCCTTCTCCAATTGGCCAATTCTATATTTAAGGGATTTGTTTTCTTCAGTGTACTTCTTTTCCCAATTGGCCAATTGTTTTTTAAGGACTCTTCTACCTCTCTCACTTGACTTTTAAAACCCTGCTTGAACTCTTCTAAGAAGGCTTTTTGGGCTTCAGACCAGTTCATAGTCCCTTTTGGTGTTGCTGATGTGGGTTTGTTGACAATGTTGTCCTCTTCAGAATTTCTGTCTTGATCTTCACTCTTCTCATAATATGAATCTATATTTTACTCATAGTGTTTCTTTATCCCTTGGCTTTTAAAGAGATTGAGCTCTCCTTCTGGGAATCAGATGGCACAGACCCAAGCTACTTGTGTTGGGAGCCTAGGTCTTGGTCACTGGGTTTGTGTGCTGGGGCCTCTTATGTTGGCAACTGTAGGCTGTAGGGTTCTGGCAGCTTACCTGGTGTTGGGCTGGACACAGCAAGGCTGGAACTGTCAGGAAATTCCAGGTTGCCTGCTTTTCCTTCCCTTTAGCTTTCTTCAGCTCGTTTTAGATGGGTGTTGCAGAGGGTTTATCTGCCTGAGGCCCCTTGCAATGCTCCCTCTCTTATATCTGCTGAGGTACTGAGAGTCTCCTTTGCTGTAGGATGCTGAGGCACCTGGTGGTTTTCTGAGCTGATTTCCACCAGTTCCCCCACCCTCCCTGAGGCACTCAGAGGTTGAGGTGTTGGTGTTTGCCTACTCTACCACCTGGGCTTCAGGATCTCCTCCTGCTTGTCACCTGGGGACTGTAGGGTTCTGACAGCTTACTTGGTGTTGGGCGGGAACCAGCAAGGCTGGAACTTTAGTAGGACTCTAGGTTGCTTTCTTTAGTTGCTTTCAGATGAATACTGTAGGGTGCTTACCCACCTAGGGCCCTTTGTAGTGCTGCTTCCCTTACTTTTGCTGAGACAGTGGGAGACTGGTTTGCTGTAGAATGCCAAGTCACCAGGATCTCCTCCTGGTGTGCTAAAGTGAGGCTGGGCTACTTCTCTGCTGTTCCCTGTCTTTCTTCTGCTTCAGCTGTTCCAGGGTTTTTTCTGGGGTGATATTTTCTGGGTTTTCAGAGATTGATGGGGGTGGGTGGCAGCAACTACCTTTTTACTCTGACATCTTGGCCCTGGAAGTGGAAGTCCTGAGCTGATTTTCAAAATCCTGTCTGAGCTCTTCCATGGCCTGAGATCAATTCATATTTTTTCTTGGAAGCTTGAATGTAAGATCTTTGACTTTGTTGTCTTCTGCTGAGCATGTGTTATGCTCCTCTGGAGCATAGTTACTGGTTTCATTTTAATTGTTCTATTCTCAGTACCTAAGAGAAGAACTTCCTGCAGTAGGTACCTGGTACCTACCATTCTGTCATTGTATTTTAGTTTGAATTGAATAAAATTAAACTTGATCAATGAACTAAGCCAGAAACTCCTTAGCCACCATACACACTGTGCCCTCCCCTTCCAATGTAAGAATGACCAATGTCCTCTTCTCTTCTCTCTAGGAGTTATTTTGAGTCGTGGAGAGAGGTGGAAACAACACCGCAGATTTACCCTGATGACCCTAAGGAACTTTGGGATGGGGAAGAGAAGCGTTGAAGAGCGAGTTCAAGAAGAAGCCCAATGCCTGGTGGAGGAGCTCAGGAAAACAAAGGGTTGGTTTTCAGTTCTTTCCTCCTGGGCACGTGGCGTCTAACTGCTCACCCATTCCCAGTCCTAAATGCTATTTGCTTTGGGAATCAGTTAAAAGTCTCTGCCTTCATCTACTTACCAGATAATAACTCTGCCGGGTCAGAAAACTCCCTTCTTGTTTCTCGTGCTCAGGCATTAGAAGCTCATTTAGCCTCCCTATAAGTAAAGACATTGTCCAGGAGAATAACATTCATTAGCCTTTAAAGAACTAAGCACCCTATCCAAGTATGATGCCCATATCCCATCTGATTGGAAACATTTCTATTAAAGTTGCTTTTTCCCCCTTTTGGTAACTTGTCTCCACATTAGGTCAGCCCACTGATCCCACCTTCATCCTTAGCTGTGTGTCATGCAATGTGATCTGCTCCATCCTCTTCCGTGACCGATTCAAGTACGATGATGAGAAATTTCTCTATCTGATGAACTTGTTAAATGAAAACTTCCGCCTCGTTAATGAACCATGGACACAGGTAAGGCCAGAACTCTCTTCTTATTCTGTGGTTGTTTGCTGAGTTTCAGCAACAAGATCAATATACCATAGCCTCTCATCTCTTAGTAAATGTCCCAACACCCATGAGAACACACACACACATTCACACACACATGTCACTCAAGGACAATAACATCACGCAGTATCTTTGGCTCTCAAATAAGATATTAGGTAGATATTCTGTTCCTAGTTGGCACCTGCACTAGTTGTAGATCATTAAAATTGAAGTTATATGGAGAAGTGTTTAATTGGGGCCTGGGGTATCTCTTCACAGATGTGACCAAGTAAAATAGTTATCAAAAAAGAACCTGCCCAGGATATCCAGGAGAGAATAGGAAGGGCAAGCCACTTAGATCAGTAGCCTACACTGATTCTTGTAGTGATCTGGCTCGGCCTCTACAATGGATGGACATGTAGGATGAAAACCTTCATCCACTGAAGCCAGAACTGAAGATCCTCATCCAGCTGAAAAACAAGCTTTCTTTTCCCTTGCCTATGTTCTGTTGCACTTACAGTCTGGAATAGGTACTCTAGCTAAACCTTCTCTGGTAGAATGTAAGACTACTTTATTGTTGTCTATATCACCATAGCCTACCACAGGACTTGGTTCATAGTGAGTACTGAAAAAATGCTCGATGCATTTCATTAACTTAAGGTGAATTTAATGCTATTAATTGGATATCTTGATGTTGCTTTTTCTTCTTTTTTTATGTTGGTCATTCCAAGGAAAGTAGGTTTCCTCTTAACTCAAATATGAGCTTCTTTTGAACAACGACATAATATGATGCCATCTGGTCCCCTCAGTGGGTAGAGCAGCACCAGATAGATTCGTTTTGAGATATGTGTCAACTTAGGGGTATATTTGAGAAGATTCATGGCACTCTTGGGATTTATGCAGAGCAGCTCACTACTCCCAAGTGTCTAAGAAGGCTATTCCTTTGATGGCTCCTTGGATTGAGGGATCACAAGATCAGAAGATTTAGAGACAGAAAGGAATTCAATGAATAGAGGGCTAGAATTTGAGGCAGGAAGAACAGTTGTATGACCCTTGGAAAGTCACTTCAATGGGGAATACAATGGACAGAGTACCAGGCCTAAAATCAGGAAGACATCTTTATGAGTTAAAATTTGGCCTCAAAGTAGCTGTATGATCCTAGGCAAGTCACCTAACCCTGTATGTCTCTGTAAAATGAGCTGGAGGAGGCAATGATAAAGCACTCCAATATCTTTGCCAAGAAAATCCCAAATGGGGTCACAGAGCCAAATACGACTGAAACAACTGAACAACTACAGCAAAGACAGAATAATCAATTTGTTCAATAACAAAAACACTGGAAGGACAAATACCATGCAAATGTAAGCTAACAGTGCAAGGAGCCACGATGATTTCAGAGGAAGCACAATGAACCATGCTGCCCACCTTATGAGAGAGAAGGGAATGGACTCAAGATGTAGAGTGGGACATACATTTTTGGCTATTGCCAAGGTGGGTTTTGCTTGATTACGTGTATTTGTTTCTACGGTTTTGCTTTTCTTTTTTGTTTGTACCAATGTTCAGTGGAGATGAGAGAGAAAATACTTCTGTCAATGAAAAATTTAATTAAATTTGAAAAAGAAATGCAATGCTTTGAATAAGATACAACAATTTATAATTAGAGATTTTAAATAGTTTCTTCATGACAATAAACTCACACGTGTTTGTTTGGGTGCGGGGTAGGTGTATGTCGCTCTACAACTTTTTACCAGCATTCAGAGCATACCTCCCTGGAGAACACAAAAGAATTTTAAAAATTAATGAGGAACTTAAAGATTTCATTTTGGAAAGAGTGAAGGAGCATCAGAAGGTACTGGACCCCAACAACCCTCAGGACTACATTGACTACTACCTCTCCAAAATGCAGCAGGTAAGATGCATGGGGAAGCACCTTACTTGTTGAGTAAGACTGATATTCCAAGGATTCTTACAGGCCACAAGCACAGGAAGGGGCATCAGAGAGAACCCCAAAGTGCCCACATCCCCCAAGGACACCATTGGCTTTCTAGTAACTGGTCTTTGGTCTGCCCATATCCCTGATCTGAAGTCTGTATGGAAAATGAGATTGGAAGAGTTCTGCTTTTCTGGGTGATGAGCTGGTGATCTGGACTTTCCTGTTTGGAAGGGGATATTGTATTGGAGAGTGATAATAGGAATCGACTAATAAACATTTACCAAGCAACTACTATATGCCAGGCACTCTGCTAAGTGCCAAAGACAGAAAAGAGGCAAAAAAGAACCCCTGCCCTCAAAGAGTTCACAATCTTATGAGGGAGAGTATATGTAAGCAAATGTATACAAAGTAAGCTCTAAACAGGAGAAATGGGATGCAGAGCAGGGCTTGGAGTCAAAAAGACTTGAGTTTGAAACCAAATTCAGACACTTCTTAGCTGTGTAATCCTGGGGAAGTCATATTCCTCATTTGTAAAATGGGGATAATAGCATTTATCTCCCAGAATGGTCATTAAGATAATGTTGCTAAAGGACGTGGTGAACTTTAAAACATTGTATAAATACTAGCTATAATCTCAAAATCTAGCTATAATTTTCTCTCATAAAATCACTCAAAATCAAGATCTTTCTTGATTGTCCAAGTAAGTCATGAGAATTCAGGGCTGGAGGTGGGGAGGAGAGAGTAAATGTGTTCTCTCCCCCCAACACCATCATGGCAGTGTCATGAACTCTTTCCTCTCTGTATTCACATCATAACCACCTTAGTTCAGATCACCAGCATCTCTTACCCAGACAGTGACAATTCTCTCCTACCAGCTCTCCAAGCATCCAGACCCTCAATCCATTCTTCACAAATCTGCCAAGTTAACATGCATAAAGTGCAAGACTCTCTGGGTTATTCCCATGATAGGAAGCTTCAGGGCTCCTAGAGAAAAACACTAACTCATGTATTTGGCATTTAAAGCCCTTCACAATTTGGCTGCAGCCTCTCTTTCAGGCTGGTTACACATTCTTCCCTCTCACAGCCTCCCTCTGTGCCCCAGCCAAGCTGCCCTGCTTGCTCTTCTTTGTACACAATATTCCATCTTTTGCCTCTTTACCTTTATACAGTCTCCCCCCTCCCTGGAATGCTCTCTCTCTTTCCTCAACACTTAGCAGCCCTAATATCCGTTCACACTCAGCTGCTGCCTCTTTCAAGCAGCTTCTCTTATTCTTCCTGTTGTTAATATCCCACCCCAAATCTCTGTGTATGTATTTTCCATGGATCCCATGTGTACTTATATTTATATGTATTGTATTCCTTCAGTAGAATCGAACTCCCAGAGGGTAGGGGCTGTCTTAGTTTTATCCTTTGCTTTTGTATCGCCATTACCTGGCATTCTGCTTGGCACAGAAAATACATTTTATACTTCCTTGTTGATTGACTGATTTCATATACTGACAAAAATGTTAAACACTACAGAACCAGGCGTACATCATTGAACTGTTCACTAGAGACTTTCTTTCAGGTTGAAATGAAGGTATCCTTAAGAACTTTTTAACACCCTCCCTCGATATATTGCCACTCTGTTTCTATTGCCTCTGTAATTTCTATTTTTTTCCAGGGGCCCTGAGCCAATGGGAGATTTTTTAAAAATAGTGTTAAGCTGACATAAAAGCATGAGAGTATTGATTCCATTGCTTTATCTTTTCTCATTAATTTATTTACTTTATGCTTGTCTGGTTTGAAGTTTTGCAGGTCAAATAATTGACTCATGTTGAGTTTCTGTTTTTTAGGAAATGCCTGAAACCCACCCTTTTTTCTTGAAGTCTGTCTTCTTTTATCAAATATTTATTTTCTCCCACCAAATGAAAAAAGACAAATAATAGGCTTCTTAACAAACAAGCATAATGAAGAAAAATACATTTCTATATTGGCCTTGTCCCAAAATGTGTCCCTTTCTACATACTAGTCCATGAATTCTCTCTCAGAAGGCAGGTACCATTCTTCATCACTAGTACTCTGTGCTCATGTTTGCTAGTTGAATTGACATGAGTTCATAAATCTTTCAAAATTGTTCATTTTTACAAGACTGATGGCTATAAGTCCATCTTATTTTGTTCAGGATGAAGCTTGTATTTGCAGGATTACTTATTTAGTACTATAACTCAATCTGCTTTGATTTTAATATCATTGTTTCACCTCTGTAGGCCTCAAGTTCTTTTTCTTTAAAATGAATGTGCTTGGCCAGTTGATCTCCAAGATGCGTCCTAGCTATAAATCCTAGGAGCTTGCGTATTTCATAGAATTTCATAGAATCTGTGGGTTGGAAGGAGTCTTAGCAGCCACTTAATTTTTAAGGCTGTCCCAGAAAAGGGTTAGAATTCCTGTGCTTCCTCATTTCCCAGAAGACAGAACTCACAAGTCATTTGAAGTTACAGAGACACATTTAATCTCCACACAAGGGGATAATGTCCAAGATGTAATACATTTCTTCATTAAGTAATAAATTCCCCATGTAAGGAAATCTTCAACCTGGGGCTGGCTGACAATTTAAGGGAGTTTTGGAAAAGGAAACTTCTGATCAGTTACAGATTGGCTGGTTGAATTTCCTTCTCCCTACAAAATTTGAAATTCTGTATTCTCCTGCCCGAAGACTTTTCTCTCAGTTCCCTGTTCTGAAAATCTGAAATCCCTTCTTCTTTTTGTTTCTTTTAAACTAAAATGCTGTCCTGCTTTGTAGTAAAAGTATCTGTATGCAAGGTCTCTTAGCAGGTTATCAACTTTTTGAGTGAATTACTTTATCAGGTCCTCACCATGCCACATATATCATAGATAATAAATAGAGAGCTGAAAGGATCCAGGTGTCTCCTGTTACATATGAGGAAAGTGAGGCCCAGAAAAATTAAGTGACTTTCCCATGGACACAGACCCCTTAGCTGAGAATAAAGTTTAATTCAGATCTTCCTGATTCAAAGCCTAGTGCTCTATTCACTATGTCATATTTCTGGACGGGAAGAAGGTTGCCTGGGAAAAGTACGCCTATGGATGGGTAAGGGAAACCTAAGAGCATTAGGAAGGTTCTTCTGTCTTAGAGTGGGGAAATGAAGGTGGGGAGGACTCCTAAGAGAAACTTTAAGAACTTCACATGGTTACTAATGGCTTTTCCTGCTGTCTCTCATTACTTAATGTATTTTGTATCTCTGCTTTAGGAGAAAGATAATGCTCAGACTGAATTTGACTTGGAAAATGTAAAAATGACAGGAGTAGATTTATTTAGCGCAGGAACAGAGACAAGCAGTAGCACCCTACGATATGGCCTGCTGCTCATTCTGAAATATCCTGAGGTCCAAGGTAAGTGCAAGAACTGCCATGCTTTCAGACCAGGCTTGCTTTCCCATTCCTGCAGCTTGCCAGGAGCTCGTCTCTCCTTTCCACCTATTGGATTTGCATGACTTCCTCACAGATCAGCAACAGGTCAGACAGTAGCATATTGAAGAAAACAGGACCCCTGAACAAGACCTGTTAGTTATTTAAACATGTGGAGGTCTGTCATGAGGAATTCAATTCACTTTAAAGAACACATATAAAGCTCCCACTGTGCACCCTCAGTTCTACCATAGGTAGAACTTACATATTGACAAATGGAGACTTCATGTAAGGAAAGACTTACCAATTATTAAAATTCTCCAGAAGTCCATTCAGCTGCGCAGGAAATAGTGAGTTCTTGCTTACTAGAGATTCTCAAGCAAAGGCTGGTTGACCCTTTGTTCAGTCCATTAGAGTCAGGATTCCTGTTCAGCTATGGATGGCCCTAGGTGAAAACATGTCACCTGTAATGCTGAGATTCTATGCCTCAGCAGCTCAGGGTATTGAGACAGGAGCTGAGATACAGAGCTGGTGAATGGTTTAAATCAAGATGATAATGCCATCACCAGCACTAACAAATTCAAATGATGGCATCGACTTTTTGACAATAAGAGCTGGCATAATAAACATAAAGAATGTGAGGGTTACAAATAACTTGACATGTAATTTCATTTGATGTCTGCTAAGGGAGGTACAGTTTTTATCTCCATTTTAGAAATCATAGGATAATAGAGTTAGAGGGGTAGGGAACCTTAGAAGACAGATAATTTATGATCCTCATTTTTCAGATAAGCAAAATGAGGCTTTCACAGATTTAATGACTTACCTGAATTTACACAGGTAGTGTCTAAAGAGAAATGTAAACACAATTCTTTCTGAGTCCTACCCAGTAAATCATGGAAGTTTATGGTATTGCTGTTACAGAAGCCTTTGTATCCTTGACTGAGTAGCAGGAGGACACTGAGCTCATCTGAGAATCATCTCAGGTCCTAACATCAGGCAGATATTGCAAACAGGCTCAGTTGAGAATTCCCAGGAGAGGAACATTGAGTGGTGATTTGTATTTTTGTGTCTGCAGCAAAAATTCTTGAGGAAATTGAATGTATGATTGGACACAATCGACTTCCTTCCATAAGGGACAGACAAGATATGCAATACATGGGTGCTGTGGTGCATGAAGTGCAAAGATTCATTGACCTCGTACCTCTCAACATACCCCATGCAGTGAACCGAGACATTCATTTCCAACAATATATCCACCCCAAAGTCAGTAGTCTTGGGAGAATGGGATCTTAAACACTATTTATTCCAATGATCTCATCATGGACATGAGAAAATGGAGTCCCATTGTCATGATCTCACTTAAAGTTCTCCTTGAGGCAGTGCGTTATTACATACAGCTTACTCGCATGTGGTGCTAAATGAAGAATAAGAGAAAAGTGTGCCCTTATCTCTG